TTTTTATTTACAGAAGAAGAAGGTGTCTTCAGAGGTTTTTGTGTCGTTTCTTTCAGTAGTTCTTGGTGCAGCGCCCCCTCAGGTGAGCGGGGGAATAGGTTGGTTCAACAGGTTGACTCGACTGCACAGTGCAGTGTGAATGCAAACGCACCAGCTCAAATGTAAACAAAATGTCATGAATATTGGTCCCGAACCGAACCGAGTCTACTGGACTATCTAGTGTGAAAACGACCATAATTAGTGAACCAACCAGTGGTGTGATCTGAGAAACCAACTTCTCAATGTAAATTATAGTAAATTTCTACATTCCTTTTAATGAATCCTATGGTTGATGTATGACATTTGATTGCTGGAATCAGAGCCAAATATGTGAACTCACCTGCCCCAGTGATTGGGAATTATAATATACCCACAACAAATTTGCATCTGTAAATCTAAGCTGTAGTCATTTTCATATGTTTTAAGGTAAGTTGGCTGTGGAAGCCATCCTGTATCAAGTTATCTCCAGAAGTCAACAAATTGTAGAAATGAATTCAATCATCTTGTACTAGATTCATTAAAATCGGTTCTGTGGTTCATGGGATAAATGTGGTCACAGACAAAGCCATAACCACCTGCCTTTTGTTTTTTTCAAATGAATCATAATTACAAGATGATGCATTACCCCAAAAAACACACATCAAACTGTTACATGTGATGGACTCAGCTGATAGTTGTTGTTTTTTTAAACTTCATTTGTTAAAATCACTTTAAAACTCAGCTTTCGATGTCTTGTGCAGCTGAAACTGGAAAAGCCAAAACTTACAATTAGCAAGAGACATGGTGTGTAATTAAACAAGTTGTTTTTCATTTACAATCCAAATAGATCATTTAAGCAACCATGCACAAGAGAGAAGAATGAACTGGCTGTAAGCAAGAGCCAGCTCTCCAAACAGCACCTACACTGCAATTACTGATGAGAGATAGGTGTGTGTGTGTGTGTGTGTGTATCCACCAAGTTAATGGCTGCATGGAGGCGACAGTCTAAATGTTTTCATCTGTAACATTTTATCCTGGTTCACCTCACTCAGGCACTGTCACGCCGCAAAACGCGCACTCAAATGCACGAAGCAGGAAAAAGGAGGGGAGGGAAAATAATGTACCAGCATCAGAGCAGGCAGTTTGTGGATACCGTTCTAGACGAGTTATACGTATCTAAAGCCTTTTTTAGAGATATTTAAAGGGTTCTCGGTTAACCTTGCTCGCAGGGCCTCGCCGTTGTGTCGCAGGAATTTTGGTCACGTTTGAAACGTTTATCGTCACACAGGGTCGCCACGGGCATAAGGAACTTGTCTTGAAACCTTTTACAAGTAGTTTCAAGTGCTGGGATCTAAATTCCCTTCATCTTGCGTTGCATGAATTCTGAACACGTTAAAAAAAAATTTCCACAAGTATTTTCTGTCAGCCAGAGCTGTTGTGAAGCGGTTGTTTCTATATTTCTGGAGCTTTTGTAAAACATGTATTTAACTTTTTAATATGTATGCAAACTCACAACAAGTTTTGGCTCGGTTTGGTTAAGGTTTCTTTATTTGTTGTTCGCACCACATGTGGAAACGAAATTGTGTACACAGGGTTCCAGTCTTCTTCAAGCCAGCCTGAAGGAACCAGTGGGTTCTGCTCTGGTCCATCTTCCACCTTGGACGGAGCCAGCCAGCTGAAATGCAGAGAAAGTCCACAGACACCCTCTCAGACACCCCGGAGCGATGGTGGTGTCTTGCTGGATGAAATGTAGTCCTGGAGAGAATCATCACTTCCTGGGACGACAAACACCGTCCTCCTTCCACCTCGTGTCCACCTGGTAATGAGATCTACGGCATCATGGTAGGTCCATATTATTATTTTAATTGTTCAGACCTCTAATTTTGTATATTATTTATTACCCTTTATTTAACCAGGCAAATCCCAATGAGACCACAGATCTCTTTTACAAGGGAGGCCTGGGCCTGAAGGCAGCTTAACATGCATGTTTTTGTTCTGTGGGAGGAAACCAAAGTACCGGGAGAAAACCCACGCAAGCACGAGAAGAACATGCAAACGCCGCACAGAAAGACCCCAGGTCCAACTGGGGATTGAACCCAGGACCTTCTTGCTGTGAGGCAACAGGGCTAACCACTGAGCCGTTGTGCTGCCATATATCTCTACAAAGTTCTACAAATTTACTGCACATTTCAGAGTGATTCTAAGTAAATGTTCATGTATATTCTCATAGTTTTGTCTCCACAAACATGCCCCCAACAGTCCCAGCCCAGAACCATAACATCTTAATAAAGTTCTGTCCACATTTTTGTATTTTCTGTGGTTACAGAAAATATCATAATTTCCAGACTACTGAGCGTACCTGACTATAAGATGCACCCACAAAAATAAATAAAATAAAATAAAAAGTGTACATACAGTATATAGGGCACATTTGTGTTTAAGCCATGGGTGTCCACATTGTAACATGAGATATTTACACAAATATTTTTAAAATTTTTAATTAAATATGTACCGGTAGCATACACAAATACATACATGTTTTTTTTTCTGAACAGTGCCTGTAACAGCTGTACAGTGGCCCTAATGTGTAAATGAACAACATATGAAAAAAAACGGAATTACATTTGAAAAAACAGAATCACGTTAGAAAAAATGGAATTACATTAAGCCAAAGCAGAAGTGACCGAAGCGGAAGTGGCCCCAATCACATTAGAAATAAATGGAATCACATTTGGAAAAATGGAATTACATTAAGCCAAAAAGGTTGTTTTTGTGGTTTTATGCTGTTAATAAAGTAAAAAAAAAAAAAAAACTTCCTGTTTGGCTTAATGTCATTCCGTTTTTCAAATATGATTCTGTTTTTTTCAAATGTAATTGCGTTTTTTAAATGTGATTCCATTTTTCACATGTAATTCTGTTTTTTCTAATGTGATTCGGGCCTCTTCCACTTTGGCCACTTCCGCTTTGGCCACTTCCGCTTTGGCCACTTCCGCTTTGGCCACTTCCGCTTTGGCTTAATATAGTTCCATTTTTTTCACATATAATTTCAGTTTTTTTCAAATGTAATTCCATTTTTTCAAATGTCATTCCGTTTTATCAAATATGATTCCATTTCAAATGTAATTTCATTTTTTCAAATGTTGTGAGTTTGTTGTTTTGGGTTTTTTTTTTTCAACTGTAATTTCGTTGTTTTTTTTTTTTTCAAATGTTGTTCATTCACACCTTAGGGCCACGGTAACCAAATAGATCTAAACACTAACAATTTCAACACAACAGTCAGGTCATTATTTTTTTTTTTGTCTACAGTGTCTTCTCATGTCCATTCGTACCTTCTCCTGTTCACTTGTTTACGTTCTCCACCTTCATGTTCTGTAATTTGTTGGTGTGTTTTTTTGTAACTGTAGTTGTGTTTAGAGATTTGTTGATGTGGTTTACACTTTAGGGCCACCGTAGTTTGGTAGCTTAAATGTGAATTGATAAATTGATGATTCAAATAAGCTGGTTTGACGTCTGACACACCATAAGAGGAAAAACAAAAAGCATTTCAACCACCAAATTCTAGAAATGTGAGCACATGACAATGTAGCTCTAATTTTTTTAACCAAAATTAACAGCCTATTAAAAATTTTACACCAATTCAGAACAAAAAAATAATTTTCATTCAATCAGCCAAATGCTTCTCATAAAACGTTCAAATATATGTGAAATCTGCATGCTTAAAACACTTTTTTGTTTGCTTTTGGGCAAAAATTATAGATTTATTTAAATAAAATATATCCATAGCGTTAGATCCACAAAACAGGTTTAGTTTGTTCTCAAATAAAAAACTAATTTAACCTTTTCCATGAGCCCTATCGCTGAAAAAGACTGTACATCTGAGCTATGATCACCGCTCTATAATGATCAATTATATTAAAGATCCCCATGGTAGATTTTTTTTTCACAGTGTCTAACTGCAAATTCAAATTTATTCTCTTATATATAATAAAAAGATTTATCTTTTATTCCTTATGCGAGTTACAAAAGCTTTCAAGTGCTGCCAAAGGACAGCGATGTGATAGTAAATACAAAGAGATTAGAGGAATTTTTACCTTCAGTGTCAGTTTAAGTGAACAAAAACACCCGTTTGTAAAGATAATACGGCAAATGGAACAGAGAGACCCAAAAACACAGATTGAATCATTCAGTCCAAAATATTTCATGAAAACTTGAATCATGCTCTGGAATCCAGTTATTCATCCGTTTAATTATAGTTTTTATTTTCTAAAAACATGCTCAGCTATTTGAAGTGTTCCTCTCCTTTTTATATTTATGTTTCTTTAATCGTCTACTAATGTTATGAAAGCAACATTATTAGACGTTCATTTATCGCCCCCTTGTGGTTGCTTGCCGTCACTACATCCAATTTAAAAGTTCAGAAGAGTTAAATTGGACTTCAAAAACATCTACAGACTATTGGCCTATATACAAACGACGTTTTTGGTTAATTTGTACAACAAAATGTTTATAAGTAGAAACGGTAATTTTAAAATAGCATTTTACCGTAAGAATGTGATTTGGGTGGAAAACACTAAAAAGTCTAAAAGAATAAATACTTTGTCAGTATGAACTAATTATTTAGCTGTTATTTATTAAATATGGACAAACGCGCAAAAAAACAAAAAAAAATTGGTGAACAAAAATAAAATTACGCATAAACATTCCCTGTGTACGTAACTGGTGTTTCTCGTTCCAATTCGTTCAATAGGCTTTTCCTTCCAAAAGATTTAGAAATACTTTCAATACTGAAACTTTAATTTTTATAATGCCTCATTGTTTTGTTGTATTGGACTCTATCTTTTCATTTTGTTTTGCCAGAATACAAATTTATTGTATACAAATAGTGTGATTAAAGTTGAGGTGGTACTAAATAAGAATTGGGACGCGGCCCGGTGTGTTGCGTTTTTTTTTTTTTTAATCAAAACAGGAAGTTGAACAGCTTCAAAGCTAGCTTGTTAGCGTGCGAGTTACGAACGAAAATTGCTATGATTTAAGACGTTCTGTAAATGTCGGGACAACTTATTCCATGCAGCGGTCATGTTTAGGTTGATTTAATTAATTTTCCTCCAAATAGTTTTATCGGCGTGTGTTTTAAGCGTATAATTTGATTTTTGTGCCTTTTAGTTTTAAAGATTAGCTGCCTTAAGTTGTTGGAGCTAACTTAGCCGGTGTCAGTTTGGGTCGCTGTATCTGGTGTCAGCTTCACGTGTCGCGGCATTTCGCTAACCGCACGAGCCGGCAGCGTAACATGAAGTTATGGAAGAGAGTAAGCTAAAGAGGAAGAGTACGAAGACATCCACCAACACAGCGGCTCCGACAGGAGGCTCCGGCCGGAAGAACAGCGCTTCCTCCGGGGGGAAGCATGCCGACAACACGGGCGCTGTTTCCAGCCAAAAGAACAGGAGCAGGAGGTGAGCAGCCTGGAAGCTAAATGTCACTCATGCTAACAATGCACTACAAACTCAAGAGAGGTTTTGGTGCGTTTCTCTTGCAGGGGGATCAGAGATAAACCCAGGTGTCAGGCGGGTTCGGGTGGTAAAGCTGCACAGAACCAGGGCCAGGCAGCACCAACCATCCAACACTCGTTTCTGACTGACGTCTCAGATGTGCAGGAGATGGAGAATGGCCTGCTCAGTCTTCTCAATGACTTCCACTCAGGAAAATTACAGGCGTTTGGTAAATTTAAGCTCTTCAGAGCGTCCTGTCCATCCATCCATTATCTTCATTCATTATCTCGTGTAAATGCCTGTTGGCGTCTTCTGTTGCTAAGAAAAAGTTTGGAGAAGTTTTTATCAAACACTAAATCGTCATGTTTGCGAACTGTCGGCAAAGGAAGAGGTGTTTCAAGAGCAAAATGACCCAGAAAGTGCCCTGTTGTTTCGTTTGTTTCAGGCAACGAGTGCTCCATCGACCAGATGGAGCACGTCAGAGAGATGCAGGAAAAGCTGGCACGCTTGCACTTTGACCTCTACGGCGAGGTTGATGAAATGCCCAAGGATCAGAGGAAAACTGCCTGTGACACCAACATGGACAAGTTGCTACTTAATGTAAGCCTGATAGATCTAAAGCTATCGAGACGTTAAGGTATTCATTGCAAACTCGCCAAGTCCAAAATAATTTATTAACATCAAACTAAATGTCAGTGTTTCCCCTACCATTATACAAGCGGGACGCCCCGTTAACAGAACTGAGGGCCCCGCCTACCAAACCGAACTGCACGCACACCCCTCCCCCCCCCCACCCATTGGCACTGGCGTAACCCTAAGCTAGCAGCGCACAATATAGGTATGCTAGCTAAAACGCTGAAGGCAGCATCTTCCCTCACGCTGAACCCCCGCGCTCGCAAAACTGTCTGTACAAACGGCGCGCAGCTCAGATGTGCGCCCCCCCCACACCCCGACAAAAATTATGGACGAGACGAGCGCCCCGCCGTGGCAAGTTAGCTAAGGGAAACGCTGGGTATTGTCTGATCTTCTATGCTTGTCCGATTCTGACCTATTTGCAGTGGTTGGCACAGCTTTGCTAACTCATGTTAAATGGCCTTCAAATGGTAAATGAACTGCACTTATATTGCGCTTTTCTATCTTATACAGACACTCAAAGCACTTTACACTACAATCTGTGTCCTCATTTACCCATTCATACAGCACTACTAGATCTCTACAAAGCTAATTGAGCAAATCATTCTAAAGAGACTAAGTGCTTTGAGATCACATTCATACACTGATGGGACACACATCAGAGGCAATGAGGGGTTCAGCGTCTTGCCCAGGGACACTTCGGCATGTGACTGCTGGTGGCTTCGAACCCCCAACACTTACATTGGTGGACGGCTACTCTAACCACTCAGCCACAGCCGTCCCATGTTCAGTGAACTAAAAAATTAGCTTTGCTAATGCAAACTGCCAAACAGATGAAAAAAAATAATAATTGGAAGTTAACGCTAAATCGCTAAGATTCTTCATCACACGTCTTCGTCTCCTTCCAGTTGAAGCTGCTTCGACCAATCACGTCAAACGCATGCCTAACAGACTTTTCAAGACACGCCCACAACAGACTGTAAAAAGCTTGTGAATTTTGTGAGCGGACTTAAAAACTAACTTAGTGGAAGCAAATTCTGCTAAATATTTCCAAAGTTAGCGAAAACGCTAATCTGCTTAACGAATAATTTGTTCTGCTGTTAGCGGATTAGTGGAATTGTGCCCACTATTTGTTTCACCTACACAGCTTAAGTTGGCTGAGTACATTGTAAGTGCCTGTCACGATTGCTGGGCGATTAATTGGCTCAGAAAATATTGCGATAAACGATAATATTGTTTGAAATTTGACAATAATTAGTCATTATTGTCATTGGCAGTATAAGATGTTTGAACCGAATGATGGATAGTGAAGGAGCGAGCAGCGTGTCTCTTTAAGAAGGTTAAGAAGACGGTTAAAATTGATTTTGCATTTAAAATGGATAAAGAGAAAGGGAGGGGTCAGTGAAAAGCACAGGAGTTGAGCTTTTTGTCATCCAGTAGAAGGAGAGAGACACAAAGAAACAATAAAGCCGATAAATGAAAATGAAGTCGATAATTTTCATTTATCGTGTGATTAATTTATTGTTTATTGCGACAGGCCTAATTAGTAATTACAGGTCATTATATATGGAAAACTACTGGGGATAACTATTTCATACTGCAATGTTTGATGAGTTCAAGATACCTTTTTATGTTTTGTTCACTGCAATGAGTACCTTTTTTTATTTTTTGGGTTAGTCAGTTGCTTTAAAAATTAAAAACGCAAAATAATAGCGTCTAATCGGAGTGACAGTTTTCAAAAATAATCACCGTATTTGCCGCCGTACACTCCGCACCGACCTATAAGTCGCATCAGTCCAAATATGTCTAATAATAAAGTGGGGAAATCCATAAATACGTCGCATCTATTATACGTCACCGCTGACGACCCGGAAATGTGGGCCAGTGTTGTGCCAAAAATCGATTGGCTGCCAAATGGCGGGAGCGTGCACGGGAGGACTTTAACAAGGATTTAACAAGATGAACACTTATAAACAATTATTTGTTTGCTTGACATTATAGCAAAGGTGTGCGTCAGTGTAACTTTTCTGTAATAAATGCACTTTAATGGTCAAATCAGCTATATATATATAGGGAGGACTTTAA